ATAATAATAATAATAATAATAATAATAATAATAATAATAGATTGGCGCTTAAACATATGAGTGTTTGGCCGAGCTTCTCCTCCGATTTGTGGCGTGCGCCTTGATGTTGCCACACAAAGCGGAGGGACTTACAGTTTTACGCCGACTCCGAACGGCGATTGTAGTTTTATGAGAAGCTGTTTTTCATGGCAGAAAAACACTCGGAGGTTTGCCATTGCCTGCCGAGGGACGACCGCTGTTAAGAAAAAAACTTTTTTCTATATTTTTGCGATGTTGCTTTGACCAGAGTTTGAACCCAGATGCTGCGGAGTGGAAGCGCGCACTGCTTACCACTACACCACTGCGACCTCTATACCCTGCAAAAAATTGTGCGACTAATCTCTAAAGAGAGTATTCCGAGATTACTCTCCATCGGGTACAATTGGGCATTAATTAGTCCTAACTAGTCTCATACGGGTACTAATGGAGGTCAATTAGTCTCGACTCATCCCTTGTGGGTATAATTGGAGATCAATTAGTCCCCAACTCATCTCTAACGGGTACTATTAACGATATACGTATACGTACAAATAATTTGTATATTTACCCACTAGGCCATTTTGTTAGGTGCTCCTAATGTTATTCATGCCAGCATATATGTGCATATGTATGCTTTTGTTAGTTTGACCGCAGGTACTATTTACAAAAATGTATTGCATTTTGAGTAGCTGAATTTGCAACTAATTAAAGTAGGCGTAAAACAGGAGAAGCCGAAGTAATAAATTGATTCGGAGCGAGTAGATAACAAAGTTAGGTAGTGAGCAGCTACGTACTAGTGTTGCACGTAACTTGGTTAATAAAATCCCGTCCAAATATAAACTAAATCCCGTTTTATACTAAAGTTATTACAGAACTCCCGCACTGTATGTATCTATTTTAATAATAGATTGGCGCTTAACGTATTTTATCTCAAAAACGGATTTTTGTAGATTTTTTCAAGCTGATTTGAAGTGCATTTAAAAAAATTTCTAGCACGTCTAGTTTTGGAGAAAAAACTATTGAAGTGTCTAAAAATGGCAAATTTAAAACATTGTTTTTAAAATAGAATTTGGACTTAGTTTTTCCGAAGAAAAAAACATCGCCCTTTTTACTCAATCCATCGACATGAGGTAGAATCCATCAGGAAAATTGGCTTTTCATAAATACGTGTTTTTTCGGAAAAACTACGTCCAAATTATAATTTTAATTTTAGTTTTTAAATTAGCCAATTTTGCCATTTTTCGACATTTCAAGAGTTGGTTTCTCAAAAACTGGACGTGCTAGAAAAATTTTATAGATGCCGTTCAAATCAACAAAAAAAAATCTATAAGAGGAGGTCGGGCCCGTTTTTTGAGATAAAATACGACCAATTTTTTTTTTTTAAAAGTGTAATTTGTACAAACAGCCTTTTCACTCATTTTAAGTGATTATATTGCAAGTACAGCAATTAGGTTGTTTGCACATCACTAATTTTAATTTTTTAATAAAAGAAGCACTCAAAATAATTTTCCATTCGTCGTTTAAATTAAACTGTTCATTGATTGGAAATTTTTATAATATTTTCAATATACACAACTTTGCGAATTCCCCCACACGTTTTTCTAACTTCTAGCACTTTACTTTTTTCCAAATTACTTTCTGTATAACTCATAAACTTGCTATTAAAATTCATTTCAAGTGAACATCACAGTAGGAGTATAGAATTGTAAATGTTTAAAATCCAGTAAATTTAAATCGCGTGATTTTTTTCACTTCTATAAATAATGAAAATTTTTTATAAAAAATAGCGCGATTTTTTTTTTTGAAAAATCGAAAATTGGATCAATTCAAATCAATACTTCGGCTCCGGCGCTTTTTTATGTAAAAGAGTATTTCAATATACATAAAATGAAAATTCTCAATAAAAAAACCGCGACTTTTTTTTACTATTTTCATCATCTGGCAGCACCAAGATCTGTGTTCATTTCCAACCCTTGCATGTAACCAATGAAATTTGTATGGTGAATTGTGCAACTTTAACAATTAATAACTTAATTTTTTGTTCTTCAAATTTGTACCGAATTAACGGAAAATGTTAATTATAAAATCAGTGGCAAATTAGCTGCAATTGAAAAAGTTGAATTTTGTGTAGTTTTTCCATGAAATGCTAAATTGTATTTACTAAGAAAACCAACAACTTTGTTATAGTGAAAAGTGGAGTTAGTGGAGTGCTGACAAGGTTTTTAATTAATTTTATGACAACACATAGGCTTGCTTAAGCTGAAATTAGTCGAGAACGCAGAACGTATACTTAAACGCAGTCTGTATACGCAGAATTTTGTCGATTACTGGAGCCCTCAGTGTTGCTTACTGCACTGTTGCCACTCTTCAATGCTTTTTCATAAATTTACCCTTTCAACCACAATTTTTCGTGCTAAAATACATTGTAGCTAAATATAAACTACTTAGTTTTCAACAAAAACCTTATTTAATAGTAAATTTCAAATATTTTAAACATATTTTGAATAGGAACTTATAACTTTTTTACCATCTGCAAAACTGACGAAGTGGCAACCATCTAAAGAAGGAGAAATCAGCTGACATGGAAAAATCTAAATTCCGCAGATTTCTGCGCTACGGGCTACAACTACAGAAAAATTCTGCGGTGTTGAGTTTTCATTTACATGGCGCTTTGGTTAGACGGCTCGTGTCAGCTGACACGGGTTTACGTACCGGTAGGTTTACGTTCTTGACTAATTTCAGCTTTAAGTTACCGTATTGGAAACAACAAAATGGAGCATTTCACGTATAAAATCAACAATTTGTTTAGCCTTGTTGGACTAAGCATTTATTTATCGTGAAATTCAAATATAAAATCACAGTTTGGTGGTCACTGTTTTCATTTACCATGGTTGCGGTTTCCTTTATTGCTGTTTTCACACCAACAACAACAGCAGCACCACACTATTGAGGGTAGTTTTTGCTTCACGCGGCCATATTGCATGCACTGCTTGTATCAACAGCACTGCATGCATGTTAGCGCCGCCCATAAAAAGGGTGTGGTTTTCTGCCATATGTAAGCGCCACCGACACAGATTTTCCATGAAAATTTTCTTCTCGAAATACACACACAAAAATTGACTGATTCGCATTTTAAATTTGTTGCTGAAACCGAAAGGACCACTGCTCCGCGTAAATTAAATTTGTTTGAAATTTTTTTCAATGGTTTGGATTCCAATGGGTGAGCCAGATGAGCTTAACTCCAACGTCGCTAACAAAAATGACACCAGCAATCCGGCGAATGCCACAAATGGCTTAAGAAGCTGTAAATTGGAAAATGGCTCACCGAATTCCATTGCTGAATCGAGGTCAGTTTCACCAAAAACGGGCACAGCAGAAGTTGCACCAGCAATGTTGCCCAGTTGCATGCGCAGCTGTGCGACTAATGGCAATTGTAGTCCACCAGCGCTGGTGCGTTTACCACCTACTCCCGCAGCCTGCTTGCATCCCAAGACTGAGTCAATTTCCGACGGTGATCTATCCGATTTTTCACTCAACGACACCGAAGAGGAGGAGGAGGAATTTCGCAGCTGTGTGCTCTCGAATGGCAGTCAGGGAGAAGGTGAGCGCCCATTGTTGGCTGAAAATACCTAATAGTTAATTTCTTATTCCACTTTTTCTCCCTCGTACAGCCTCGCGCTCCCAGTCAACTTCACCGCGCAACATGAACAACATCCTCCAGCCGCCGCGTCAAACAAATTCTCCTCCAAATAGCAGCAATATTTTGAAGAATGGACAACCCATTAGCGGTGCTCCAGTACGCAAAGTTTTCACCAATACACGCGAACGTTGGCGGCAACAAAATGTATCGGGCGCCTTTGCTGAGTTGCGTAAGCTGGTGCCCACACATCCGCCAGATAAGAAGCTCTCCAAAAATGAAATACTCCGCATGGCTATCAAATATATTAAGCTGCTCACAGGCGTCTTGGAGTGGCAGAAGCAACAGGAGGAGCTGCAGCAGCAGCAACAGCCTGCCAGCGGTAATACGCGTGGCAGCGGTGAGTTGAACAACAACGATAAGCAACGCATGAATGGGCATCATGTGCCTGCCGACGGCGTACGCCAGTCGCCGCCCTCACTGCGTCAGGTGCATTTGAAACAATTTCACTTGAAGTGTGAGCGCGGCGGTAGCGCTATAGTAGCTGGCTCTCAACGGAATAGTAGTCTCCTAATGATAGCTCCTGGTGCTATGAACACGCGTGCTATTAAAATGGAGCACTTGGATGCGGTCGAGTTGGGTGGTGCTGCTGGTGGTTTGCCTACCGTTGCACCTGCAGTGGGCATTGCAGTGCCTTCTCAGGCATCGAGTTCAGCTGGACGCGTCAATGGTGTCGCTAGCGGACGCAGCAATAAGCGGAAGTCGAATTCGAGCAATAAGGCAAGTGTGGATGTGACAAGTGAGAATATTAACCATAAGAAAAAGAAGGAAAATTGATAATATTTGGGGATTTTTAAAGTTAAAAGTTAAAGTAATCAAAAGGCTCGGTGTTAAGTTCTTTATGCACGTTTGCTCTAAGTGAAATTAAATGTAAAAAATTAAATATACAATTTGATAATGTAGTTAATTCACTTTATATTGCTTTTTGTGGCTTAAGGCTTCGTTTAAAGTGCATTCCTCTTCAACTTAGTCATAAAATGACTCACAAAGCGCCTAGTATTCAGTAGCCCAAAATCTGTGGATTTCCAGTTGTGCTCTCAGACAGTGTAAGTATTAGTGGTTGATTTTGTAACGGGTCTCTACGGGTGGTCAAATACTGAAAAATGAGCATAAAAGGCACCAGTTGCAGAGACCAACACTTCGTATTTATATTATATGCAGTCTTTGTTAAGCGAAGCTCACAAAGGAAGGCTACAGTAGTTAAGAAGCTATAGTGCATGCAAATCCTGTAGTACTATATATAGACTACATACTACAGTCCAATTAGAATGAGCATCGTGCTGCGCACTCTTTTACTAAGCGTTGACCCCGCTTACAGACTCTCGCAAATCTTCGACGTCATACCTACAGATGCTTATGCGTAAGGAAAGCTGGCCCTGCTTAGATCCGTGTACCTCAAATTTGGGACTTCAGAATTTTGGACCGCATTTCAAGCAGAAGTTGCTGATATAAAATAGTCACTCCACTAGATGCGTAATACTGGGGCTTAGATTTGTTGGTGCTACAGCCGAAGCTGGCGTGGAATGACTGGCTATACTTTTGACTCATCTGAGGGTTTTCGTATCTGTAACATACGGTCGCAAGGACACAGCGACATTGCTAGACGCATCCATTTGACCACCCGCGGGCGGTTATTGAAAAGATAGACTTCTCGACTCTCGACCAGAGAAGAATGGGATGCAGGACTGCCAGTAATAGAGGGGGTATATCTATCTGCACTGATAGTTCAAAGTTGAAAGAAGGAACCGGAGCCGGAGCTGGTGTCTACTCGAAGGACTTGCAGATCAACCAGTCCTTTGATCTACCAAACAACTGCAATGTCCAAGTGGACATCTACGCTATAGAGAGGGCGACTAGCGTTTTATTTAGTGATAGAGTTCCAGTAGACAAAGCCACTTTTTTTGTCGGCAGTCACGCAGCAGTGAAGGCAATAGGATCAAAAATAATAGTGAAATTAGGAATCGTACTTAAATGTCGCCCCACGCTGGCGTCACTGAGCCGTAGTAACGTCACTCTATGCTGGGTCCTCGGACATAGTAATATTGCGCTCAAAGATGCAATAGAAGAAGCGAATAGCTCCGTACTATCCCCGTTTAGTGATCACGTTAGGAAAATTGATGATTACACCGTGGCCGCGGCGAATGACTTGTGGAAGAAATGGGAAGACTGTGAGACCACAAGTTTATTATGGCTGCGGCTTAGTAGGGAAAACACAAGGGACATACTGAAATTCAATAGATCTGCAGTAAGATGCCTTAACGACGTCATCACAGGACACTGTGCTGCAGTACCAATGCTTCAAACGGTGACGAATACCAACAAGTACTATCTGCAGAAGCCGCCATGATAAGGACGAGGAAGAGTCAATTGATCACTTTCTGTGTCGTTGTCCAGTAGACGAAGCGCCTCAAGCAGTTGGGTTTACGCTTATTCAACGTTCTGGGCGAGGTAGCAGTGATTAATTAGAATAATGACTTGAAGCTACTCTTTCAATTATAGGTACGTGTCTCCTCCTGACACTCACTTAAAGAGGGCACTCACAATGGACAATTCTGTCGCGGAGTGAAAGTATGAAATATTCCACACACGCCCTCCTAACCTAACCTAACCTAGACTTGGCTTATTGGGAGCTTTGCGAAAGCCTCGACAAGCTAATTTCCAAGTTCCTTGTGGTCGCTGGACACTTTGGCTCTGAAAGAAATTTCTTTCGACATCTCCCAGACATCACAGGTTAATATATCTGGGCACGTCAATGCAGCTTAAGTGACTTTGGGAGATTTAATAAAAAAATGATAAGCTTCTCTTCAATTTTTCTCTCTTATTTTTATTAAGCTTCTATCAAAAGGGCATCTTAAACTACATACACCTTTGGTTATTTAAACGTTATATTATTGTTTTGGGAACCCTAAGGCACATTGTTTTAAAGGGGAAATGGCCTATCTCGAATTAGGCAACTTAAATTGGCGGCCACAAATTTTCACGGATTTTTTGTTAGTGATTACCATTATCGAAGAAGTGAGCAATAGAACTGAATATAGTATTAGAGGAAGTCTGTTCATTTCCCACTATTCTCGTATGGCTGCACCCGTCGAGCCACATTCTCAATAAGAAAATGGTCTACGTTAACTTCGAGCTAAACTCCAAATCCTAAATTAGAGTCAGTTTTAAGCTTTTAGCCAGCATTCTATAATCTGTAAGTGTGGGCTTGGTACTGGGCTTTATCAGCAGCTCATTCTACAGCATGCTCTGATTAACTTAAAGAACGTGTGACACTCAATCTTATTTTATCCTGAAAAAGACGGTTTCCCCACGTCATAGCTGATGAGTTTAAGAGGCGGTTTTCTATGATTTGAAAATTTTTCAACCTTCGAAAATTAGAGGAATTTTAAAATCATCGCTCTGGCAACAAAATCTTTTGAAAGTGTACAGATTTTCATGACTACGTCAGTACATACTTACATACATACGAACATACATAAAAGTTCAGCTTGTACATTTGTAGTAAAAGCTATCTAAAGCGCATGTGCTATTTGTAGAACAAATTTTACCCAAAATCTTGCGAAATTTATTTGCAAAGCTCATCAGTTTCAATAAAGCTCTAAGTGTGGTTAAAAGCTTCTTTGTTCCTAGACTGCTTTTCTGTTCCAAAGTCGCGTTAAGTTTTTCTTTACTTAAGCTCCGAGGGAGGTTGAAAGTTTCTGAAAGTTTGGTTCGTGTACTGAGCAGCTAAAGTTGCAAAAGAAGCTTGCTCAAGTTAATGGTTTTTGCCAAGCATTTTAGGAGTTCTGTATGTTTAGTAAATATGTATATTGCAAAAGTTTCTTCAGTCGGCACAGAGATACACGGCTTGTGGAAATTTTTAACTGAAATTTTCATTTTCAAATAGGATTCACTCCTCAAGAGACCGATCTGGTTAAGGAATGAGCTCTGGAAAATTTGAAGATCTCAACTACCGGTAAATCCAGGAAATTTACTGATTCAACGCGGTCAAAGAAAAGGGAAAGAGGTGCTGGCGCAGTAGGTTTAAGGGGCCAAGAGAAAAAGTCGTTGTTCACAAACCGGAGTTATGTACATATATATGTACATATATCAAGTATTTAACCCTTTAATGCCCCAGCCTGCCTCTAGGCGGTCCTCCCAAAAATCGCACTGGCGGCAAGATTTTTTTTTTACAATGGCTAATGGACATGACAACATATTTGCATAAGCTTTGAATGCTTTCAAAAGCTTTTTTTTATCACCTTTCTTCCACTCTACAAAAGCCTGCTTATTTGCAACGAAAAAAGTTTTGCTGGAAATTGCTCTATGTATTATCAAAGATCCATTCTGTTTTGGTTTTGGGTGTTCTCTATCGCAATAATAACTTTTTCTTTCTAACAGGTATGCTTATCTATTATTATTTTGAAATGTGTTTTATGTAAATAAAGGCTAGTTGAGCTTTGGAGCAGTAATTTCTTAATGAGTGCCTCAGTTAAACATTCTCATGTCACAGCTGAGCCCATGACTATACTGGCTCAAACAACTTTTTTTTTTATAAATAAGAAGCTCAAATTTATCCGAAAATGCTTATTTTCTGGACCGAAAAAAAAAAAAAAAAAAAATTTGCCTTGCCAAAAATCTTGAAGAATAGTTTTTTAATTTACTATTTAAACTTAAATGAAATTTTAGAATTATAAAAATTAATAAAGCGAAACAAAGGATGAGAAACAGCATGAAAAATTCTTCAAATAAAATTTTTAGTTTTCAATAATTTTTTTTTAACAACAAATGTTTACCAAAGATAATAAACATAAAAATAAATAAATAAATTAGACACAAAAACTAAACGCAAGTGTGATCATTTTTTTAAAGTTTTTTTCGAAATTAAGAATTACTTATTTAAAACTAAAAAATGTTTGTCATAAAAAAGAGGATTAAAAAACTTAGATTAAAAATAAAAAAAATTTAGGGAGTGCTCAAAGCGCTCAAAGTTTTCCACGTATTTTATATGGGGAAAAAACAAATCTATAATCTATAATCTATATTTCTATAACAATTTTTTCATGGTAACTATATTTTATAGGTCCTCCAAAACCCCCAGCAAATGCAATGGGGGGACCACTAAAAAATCTTTAATATTAAAAAATGGTTAAATAAACAAGTGGATATTAATATAGGAAGTCTCCTTAAGTTTTCCATAGTTTCCACAGTTTTCCGGTCGAAAAATATTGATTTTCAAGAATTTTATACCATTTTTACGAAAAGTTATTTTTTCCACATATGGAAAACTTTGAGCGCTGTGAGCACTCCCTAAATATTTTTTGATTTCAAAATAAAAAAATGGGGTTATATTTTTTCGGTTCAGAAAAATCCTAGGGGGTGGCGGCATCAAAACTCCGACTTTATTGTTTTTGGACCACTCTATTGTATACATATGTACTACATATGAAAATATATAAATTAAAAAATTTGGAAAAAAATTGAAAAAATATATGAAAACTTTTTCAAATAAATATTTAGTTTCCTCAAATTAAAAAAAAAAAAATTACCAAAAAAAACCTCGAATAAAATTTGAAAAAAATTCGAAAAATCTTAAATAAACTAAGCAAATTACAAAAAAAAACGAAATTTAAAAAGAATTAATTAAGTTTGAAAAGATTTAAAAAAAAAAATATATTAACATAAAGAAAAATTTGTACCAAACAAATTTTGGCCGAAAAAAGAAGATTAAAAAAAAGCAAGTGGAGGAATTTTGAAAAAATAGCTTATAAATATTTTTGTTTTACCCTTTTTTATTAACATTAAAAAAATAAATTAATTATGTACAACAAAAAACTATGATCCACAATTGTAGCTGCTAGTTTCTCACTTAAAGCTCTCATAGCACCAAAAGACTTTAAACTATTCGGATTTGTCGTAGCCAACTTGTTTTTAGTTTAAAGTTTTTTTGTCAACAGAAATAAAACCAAAATTTGATTTCATTTTTTATTCAAACTGTTTTTGAGTGTAAGACAGAACTCGCTCATTCTATACTCCAGTGAATTAAAACACCATATGTATTTATGTTGGGTTGCAGCTGCAATTTGGAAATTTTTATTATTTTTTTTCACTCCATTATTTTGTTTTTTGTTTCTTCTTTCATCTCCCATGAATTTTAAGGGTTTATTTAATTAACATTGCAAATAATACAAATTTAGATAGTAAATTCTTTAGTACAATTTTCTTACGGTAATTTTTCGCTATGTTACATAATTTTCAAATATCAATGCATCGCTGTATATGTATACATTTACGCTATATATAGTTTTTTTCAATTTACATACATAATAAAAGGGTATCAACACATTAAACGAGACGTAATTGTAAAATTCTTTGATAACTTTGCTTTAATACTGCTGGGGAAACTCCTTTTTACTTAATTATATAATTTTTTACACTTCCCAATTGTTTGGGTGTTTCCCCCATTTTTTTTTTTGCTGAATTAATTGCATTTGCTGCATGGATTGACGGTGTTGCGGGGGTGCCCGAATTGAACTCATTCTCGCACGAAATGGCTGGGTTGGGTTGGAATTTGCTGACTCACACTCGACTCGCGTTTTATAGATACTCCTTCCTCTTTTTCGACCAGCATACCACTTGCCTTCACCATCGCTGCTTTCTGCTTTCTTTACTTTGTTTGCTCTTCGTCCGCTGCCTTAGTATTCGTCCTGCAGTATTTCATTGATTGTTCGGGCATTTGTTAACGTCGCCCAGAGGGGCGATTGTACGCAGGCCAGCGTGTATGCCTCGGCGTCAAGTGAACGTGATTTGCGCATTGAGTGGCGTTTCTTGCTGGCGGCCCGTTTGGTGGGCGTAGTGGTGGTATTGCTGCCATCAAAATGCGTCTCCTGCACCGATTCGGTTTTACGAATTTTGAATTTCGTTTGCGAATGTGAACGCCTGTGTGAAGCTTTGCTCGTTGTTTGTGACACTGGCGCCGCCGATGCTGCTACTGCTGCTGCTGCTGCTACTGTTGGGGAGATTTGTAATAGGTGTTGTGGTTGTTGTAGCTGCTGTTGCTGTTGTTTTTGTTGTTTATCCACTAATTGTTAGCTTGAAAAGGACATCTTGTAGGATGAAGTCGTCTCCATGGGCGATTCGGCATTGAGTATTTCCGTTTGCGTTTGTTCTACATCGCTGCAGCGTTCCTCCACTACGGTATCGAGCTCGAGGGAGGTGAAACCCTGACTCAGGCTTCGTTCAGGACGTAAACTGATAGCTCGCGACGGTCGGTAATCTGTGTGAAGGAGAGGGAGAAAGTAAGTAGAAAAATTTAGTACGCATTCGAACAATGAAGTTACCAAGAAATAAAAAGTTAGACACCTCAACCGACTTACGATATTGGTAATTTCAAGATTTTTGGACGGTTGATTAATATATTTTCATCCTAGATTTATAACTAAATCAAAATAAACACGTATGAAGTCTCACTAAAATATCATAGTTTTAAAGCCGTTTTGTCCGTTTCAATATCGTAAATATATCTTAAGTTCTTCATAACAAACTCTGTAAAGCCCCCTGATTTTGCTTTAAATTAAGTTAAATTCATACAAAAGTTGCTTTGAAGCAAAAACCCTAATATCGTAAATCTAAGATCGTAAAATATTTATATATTAGGAATGGAAAAAATACTTTTTGAAAGTACATAAGCTTAATAGCCTTATTTCGTAATCTTGTTTTCATTTCCGTAACGCGTGGCATCAGGAAAACTTATTGTATATATTTCTAACGAAACTTTCAATATCGTTAGTATTATATCGTACGTAATTCTTTAAAGCTCGACAGGATTTTAATTATATGGGGCTTTTAAATGTAACATACTATATGTATGTATAAAATTTTAGGAGAATTTTATTTAAAAATAAGTTATATCGTAAATTTGTGCTTAACTATTTTTACATACATACTTAGCACCATAAAACATAATTGTGCATACCTCTTATGAAAATTGTAATATCGTAAAAATAATATCGAAAATGTTTGCTGCTTAAAATCAATTATAATTTAAAATCTAACAACCTGAGTAGTTTTCGGACATTCTATTTTCAAAAATGTTGTATCGTAAGATTTTCACATACATACATACGGATATATGTATGTACTGAGAAAAGTGGTTCTTTAAATAATTAATACTAACTAGAAAAGACTTGTAAAACGAATTTTAGAAATGAAAATTCAATATCGTAACTTCTATTGTGTAATTAAAATTGAAATTCATATTTTCGTAGGTCTATTCATATTTAGTGTTATTGAACTTCTTAAATGAAAGACTTATTCTAAATGTACTTTTGAAATTAAACAAAACAAGGCACGAATTTACCACTTAGCATGTTTCCCAATCATAAATCTATGGAATAGACACGTTAAGTATGCAAATGATATTTGCGAATCGTGAGAAATTATAATAGAAGAAAGAAAAGTGCGGGTGGAATGAAGCAAGCAGTTTCAAATTAAGGCAGAATTGCTAAGCCACATTTTCCCACAAAACGAATAAAGTAGATAATCGATGATAAGCTGAATGAAGATTATGCGCTAGATTGGTTATGTGGTAGTGAGAAGTCTAAGAACGTAATATGTATATTTAAAATTCAGTTGTTGCCAAGGACACTCACTGAATTTCAAATACATAAATCCAACTGCACAAACGAATATGTATGCCGCATTAAAACCCGAAGGTGATTGCGTCAAAAATAAAAAACTATTTAAAATCTTCCCTCGCACGCAAACGAACGATTTCCGTTAAGTTCAATGTAGATGACAAAGTATTCGGAAATAAAAAATGTATTAAAAAGCGCAATAAAAATAATCCAAAATCAACGAAATGTCGACAGCACCATGTTGGGGTGATTGTGTGAGCATATTTAAGTGCGCCTAAAAGTAGATCTGACGCGCAAATGCTATTGCGTTTGCTATTCAATTCAACTCACAGTTCCATGCACGTACAAACTCCCTGACGGCCATAAAAAAATAAAAAATTCACTGTCAAAGACACGCATTCACAGTTCACAGGAAGACATTGTCAGCGCTGCTAAAAGCCGCGAGTCATCAGCCACCAAGCGGCAGCTGGCTACTCTCATTGCTCTTGTAATTTTTGGCGGCGTTGAAGTTGTTTCCGAACCTGTCGCTGACAGCCAGATGTGCTGATGAACTCCGACATTTCGGAAGTGCCTGTTGTGGGTCATGAATGTTTCATGAACAGTAATAACAAGGAACGCGAGAGTACATAGGCAACGCACGCTTGTGTAAAACATACTTTTAGGCGCTGTGCGCCACTAAATTAAAATTGACAATTATCGACCAGTTGCATGGGTAGGTTACGAGATTAAGTGAACGGTTAAATTAATGCACTTTTTTACAAATTCTAATATGAAATTAGTCCCAAAAATATTCTTAAATAATTTAAACCCAAAAGTAACGACACAGTTTTTTTAATTTTTGAAGGGAAAAAAAATTGTTTGAAGAGGGTAATATCTTTAATTTAATATCGTAATTTTTTTGTGTAAAAGGTATATTTACTTAGTACTTTTATCTAAAGATTTCAGCTGTTTTTTGACAGAGTTTAAGTCACTATTTTTTCTAATTTTTTGTGTAAAAAGTATATTTACTTAGTACTTTTATCTAAAATTTTTCAAGTGTTTTTTGGCAGACTTTAAGCAACTATATTTTCTCATATCGTAAAATATGTTGCAATACAAAATTAATTGCGTTAAAAAAAAAGTAAAAAAGCAACAATTAGAGTGTAAGAATTGTAAAATTAGTAAAATCTATCGTAAAACCCATATCGTAAAACTTATGTCGTAAAATATATATGTATCGCGATTTTTCAAAATAAAATAAAGGGTATATGATACTTGATATTATAGATAAATCTCTTTTTCTCTCTCTTTTTAGATGACGATTTTCTTATTAATAATTTTTTGTAGTTTACTGAGTGCTTTTGAAGGTCTTATTCAGCCTACCTCAAAATACCAGAAAATATTTCTAGCAAATATTAATAAGAAAAATATTGATAGAACCATAAATCCGAACATTTTATAGATAAATACATATGTATGTATATCGTATATGTATTAATGGAAGAAGTAAGCTTTTTTATAAATTTAATTCTTTCTTTCTATAAATTTGAAACTTAGTTGTGAAAAAAACGATGAAATTAAAAGGATAATAGATAATATCGTAAAAAAAAATTTTTAAGTTATGCCTCTTAGCAATCCATTTGGCAATAAAATTTGTCTTGTTTTGTTGCAAAATTTTAGACAAAACACGTTAAAAAAAAACAATATCTTATAAAATAGTTGATGACAAAAAGGTCCTCACAAAAATCTAACATGGTAACTTTTTACCAATATCGTAAACAAAAAATGGTCTAATACTTGCGTTCCACTATTTTTGCAACATTCATTTACTTTCATATCAAAAATGTCCACAAAATACTCGTAACGCATTGAAAAATACAATGTCGTAAATTATGGTTTATAAAAGTAATTTCTTTTATATCGGCTAAGCATCCAAAGATGGTTTTTAATTCGTTGAAAACAAAAATTTTTAAATTAAACTGAAAACGTTCTAAACAGCATAATGTCGTAAGAAATATTTTATTTAAATAACAGATTTTCACAATCTATTTAACAGACACTTTTTTGGATTACCTTCTTGCACTAAAAATCTATTATACTAAATTAACATACCAATATCGTAAGACGAAATACTTGCGTGCCACTATTTTTGCATACACAATTAGAAGTATATTATGAAAAATGTAGAAATTTCTAAATTTTGTAGCGAAAAAACATATCGTGCACGTTTTCTTCTAAAAATGTCTAATTCTAAATTTTTTGTTTTTACAATAATAAGTACTAAAATAGTGCAGCAAGCATCAGTAGCAAAGTAAAAAAACAATTAGAAAAAAGTCGATTGCACAGAGTAGAGTAAAATTGTACACAATCCTAGGGGTGTCCTTATTTTTAAAAGTCAGTTTTTCACTTACTCATTAATTGAAAATAAGCACACCCCACACACACACATAACACTTAACAACTCACTAAGCCTATGTATGGGACTAAATCTGACCAGGCTCACAGCGTGGTCCTGCATATCGTAATTCCGACGACGATCACGTTCACGTGCCAATTTCGCGCGACGCCGCAGGCAACAGATGACGAGTAAAGCCAATATGGGGAAACCGAATATACACGAAACGATGGGTATCACAATAGATTCGGGCGAAACTGCAATGAGAAGAGAAAAGAGAAAGAAAGCAAATGAAAAATATATACATAAATGGAGTAAATATTTTTTATGCTTGATTTGTATGTTTCGTTCTAAATATGTACATACATATGTACGTATAGAAATACTAGTCGTGTAAAATGTCGCAGCCACTTACAAACCCATCTACACATACATACGTGCATTGCATATACATACATACATTTGTATAGTCTAACAGTCGCACTTGTAATTCGAATAGCACTTCCCTTTTCAACGGCATTTAATTGAGTGTAAATGTATTGTGTGGGTGTGTGCGACTCGAATGAAAGTAAGTGCATGGTATGTGTGCATCTGTGTAAGTGTGTGTTTGCCTTGTAGTTCATTTTAATCCACTCAATTAAAATGTTTGACATTTGATCCAGCTGCGGTTGAGATTTTAAGCGGTTCTAAAAATAAGTATTTTTTCTTTAGAAGGACTGCTTGGAAGTACAATATGAGCAGCGCCTGAGTACACATGCACTTGTGTTGGAAACTTGAAATATTGTAACTTGGTGTTTTATTTTTTCACTACTGTAGAATTTGCAAGGGAATGCGATTTTTCCTAAAATTTAAAAGCAGACATTATATTTATAAGTAAGTGGTATCCTAATACTCCGAAAAAAGAACTGATACTTGTGATTTTGGAAGACAAATATCGTATCGCTATCGTATACTTGCGACACACACTAACACACGTCAGCTATATACAACTTCATTAAGATTTAAGGAATTAAAAATTAAGTGCCCACTTTTAAGAGGTTTTTATAGCTAGTCTGTCTTTTTTTAATCACAAATA